GGCTTTTTATCAAGCTAAGTAGGGTTGCCAAGTGTTATTGAAAGGAAGATGCGAGATTGTTTTTTTGCTTTGGTCAAGAGATGAAATTTTATTTTACCATTCTAGATTTTGGATTGTAGTTAGAGGAAAAGCTTAATGAAGTCTAAAATATTTACTTTTATGCAAAAAAAATCAAATTAATTTGGGATCAAATTGGCAGGAAGGCGCTGGATGGCCTCTACCAACCGGTCAATATGAAAATCATTGGGGGAGGCCTTGATCTTCAGCAGTGGATATCCTATAGCTGAAATGACGACGATGATTCGATAGTTCCTAGTTTAGGGTTAGGTAAAATCCTAGAATGAATATCTAAGTAATCTGCTATTTATAGGCATTGACGTAAATAAATAAACGTTCAACAGACCGTTGAACTGGTTATGAAAAACGGTTGAGGACTCAGAGATGATTGTAGAAACTAGAAAATATGATTATTATGTTGTCACATTGTTTATTCAAGGTTATCATCGCTTATTGAAGGCCATTTCAATTGAGCTGGAGGCGTCTTTTAGATTCATCGTACATCTATTTATTAAATGGATTGTTGCTCCTTTAAAATACTAATGGTAGGAATTTACTCGTAACGAAAATAACGAAATACCATATTAGATAGGTACCTTATCTTTGAACATCAAAATAGGACATTAGGCTATTTGTTAATATACTTTTTATCAAACTCTACGAGGAAAAGTCGCACCTCTTAGCTCATAAATTCATCTTTAATACTAATGTAATTGCACTCACTATTAATAGTTCAAATTCTTATGTAACGTGAATTAAAAAATACGCATCCACTGTCTTTAAAATCAGTCAAAGCTGCTGATCCATGGTCTGTTGACCACAGCAGAGTTAGTTTGAAGAAAAAAACTCAAAAGCAAGGAAAATGGAACTTTCCGTGAATAGAGCTCCCTAAATGATTAATCAGCGCCAGCCAAGCAGGAAAATTCTTCATGCTTGACAAGGCCTGCTGAAAATCATTGACAAGCTTTGTGGCATATTTCGTTTTAGTTAGAGGTAGGTTCGTAGCTTAGGTATTATTTATACCTACTTTAATATTTTGCTTACAGTGCAAGATTTAAAAAAATCTTAATTAAAAACTTTTTGTCTGATCTATACTGATTCTGCGTAGTTAGACATAATTTTAAACCAACTTTATTTGAAATTTCTCAATTACATTGACCTTTGAAGTGTTGCGTATGAAAATCACAGAAAATACGAATTAGGCATTAACAGAGGGATTATGTCGTACTACTAAAAATTAGCATAATCAAGCATATCTAGGGAATTCTTGGAAAATTTCGCAATCACACACGGTCATACAAGCATTTACAATTTAATACGCGACTCGTTTGACTTGAGCCGCATGCAAATTATTGTTTAATGGCTAAATGAGAGTAATTTGATCCCCTTTGACCACTTGATTATGTTTTCGTAATTACTCGAAGTGTTTTGTGTAATTTGTAAAGTCACTAATTTTAGTTTAACTTGGTAAACAAAAGTACATGTTAGGGATATCAACTACTATTTTGTGTCTAAGAAGTATAAGCTAGTAATGGCATGATGAAATAACCATACTCAAATGCAGAGAAACCATACAGTAAAGAATTAAAGGAAGATTTAATGAATGCTTCTGTGGACGCCACTCTTGTAGCAGAGTTTTGAGCTGACACTGTAGCTTTGTTGTCAACACGACAAGAAGAAAAAGTAAAGAATTAAAACTAATTTAGATATAACACAGGGTTACAACAAAAGTTAGGAATTTGCTTACGCATGTGACCCAAAAGCCTTAAACTAAAAAAGTTTCAATACATTCATTAATTAATAGATCAAATAATACGGTTTATTGACTGTAACGGATTTGAGAAACGATAAAGCTTTTTCTACAAACATCGTTAGACAAGTAACATGTCTGACAGAAAAGAAGCACTAATGTGGGAAAAGAGTCACATGTGTTCTTCCACAAATAATACACGATTAATCAACCAATCATCGCCTTCCCCATTTTTAAACAACTGTTCTCTTCCTGGAAGATATTGGCGTGTATTTAAACAGACTTCAATTGAAGAAACGGACTCTCCATAGAGCTTTTTCAGTGTTTGTTACCCGATTTCTTTGGGTTCGAAAAAAACTTAACTGGATGTTATTTATCCAGTTAAGTTTTTTTCGTCGGTAGGGTGTACCGTCCTCTTGTTCCATTAAATTACCTACTTCCGACGCCATTTTGGTGCATGTACCTTACTGTTTGGTTTTATTATAATATCTATTTGTTATTTTATTTTGTACTTGCATCGAATAAATACTTTTCTTTCTTTCTTTCTTTCCAAATAAATTCGGTATCGACACGAACGTTCTCACGAGCGGTCTAATCGACGCTCACCCTTATTGTACCACATCTCACATTCGGCGAGGTGAACAAACGACCTCGGAAGCCGACCGTTGATTTCTAATCAACATACGCCACACAATACCCGTCAGAAATCCGCAATCCGAGACACGATCGTGTTTTTCTCGTTTCTACAACCAAAATAACGTTAGTCCCCGACGGCGATGGTTGAACGAGAACAGCCAAGACATAAAGTTACAGCTTTTTAACACAAGTTACAGGTTTTCAAAAATAATTAACTAGATTAATTATACCCACCTTTGAGTAAAAATCTGACACGCCTCGAAAGATTTTTAAGCTTGTAAGCGACAAGCTTTAAGCTTCCGAAGTTCAGCAATTCTATTTTCAATTCGAAAATCAGGTTAAAATTACTTCTATCTACATGCAATTCTGGAGTTAAGAAGATTAATTTCTAGACAAAAACTGACGGTTGTTGGTTCGAAACTTGCGAGCAAAAACTACCTAAGTAATTGAGTATTTACAAGTCATAAGAGGTGAGGTAGCTCTTTTTTTTCGGCCATGTTATCTAAAATTTACCAAACATAGCCGTACTAGCACTGAATTTCTGTTTCTATCCTAAAATAATAGTGCCCAAAGTGCAGTGACACTGCCCTGGTCACCTTAGGCCATCCTATTTTGCGCTAGTGCGTTTGGAAATTTGACACACTGCCGCATTCGTGTAAAATATTGATTGGATCCGAGTGATCGATTAACACGTTGAGTGCGNAGTGAGACCTCATAGTAATGTTTGTAAATACGGGCGTTAAGCTTGTAAGTGACAAGCTTTAAGCTTCCGAAGTCCAGCAATCCTATTTTCAATTCATGTTAAAATTACTTCTATCTACATGCAATTCTGGAGTTAAGAAAATTTATATCTAGACAAAAACTGACGGTTGTTTTTTCGTAACTTACGAGCAAAAACTACCTAAGTACCTAATTGAGTATTTACAAGTTATAACGATGTAAGAGGTGAGGTAGCTCTTTTTTTCCGGCCATGTTATCTAAAATTTACCAAACATAGCCGTACTAGCACTGAATTTCTATCTCTATTCTAAATTATTAGGTCCCAAAGTTATTAGCCATCCTATTTTGCGCTAGTGCGTTTCAAGATTTGACACACTGCCGCATTCGTGTAAAATATTGATTGGATCCGAGTGATCGATTAATAAATTAATTGGTTAGACTTTTCGATCGATTTTAGTTTCGATTATTGGTAATAAACATGAAAGTCTAATGTGGGATAATCGTTTGAGGCAATATTGGAGTGTGATATGAAAGTTGCGGTATTTTGCATAGATCTATAGGTATTAAGTTTGGTGTAATTATTTGTAATTTATAGGAATCTTTATAGCTTTGAACAAAAGTAATGACTCAATTTGGGAAGATTGTTTTTTTTAACGTTTTCTCTTTGAGCTTTTTGTTTTTTATACCGAGTTTCAATAGAAAGTTTACAATACTAATGATTCGCGTAATTTTCATTGTGTATATTTACATTTTTATACATTATTTTCCAATCAAACAAAATAGAGAATACATAATAATATATGTACCTAATATTCATTCTTATTATGTAAAGTTTTCCTAGATGTTAGTAGAGTGAGCTTTTGGGAGTCTCCGCGTTTCAAATTTCAAACGAAACAAAATACTAACTACCTAGTTAGAAGGAAGACATAATGAAGTCACTAATGCGAATGGAATGCGGAGTTCATAATTTATTATTTATGAGTGTCAAATTATTGAAAATCTAGCTACTGGCCGCGAGTTCGTCTGCGTGAAATTCAATCTGTCATAAAAATCTAAATAATAACGGCATAATTTTCCTGAAATGGAGTCCAATTGACCAAAAGATGATGATATAGCCTATGTCCTTCTATTAGGTCACATGTAATTCTATACTCATAAGTAGTCATCAAAATTGATTCAGCTTCTTGAGTTAACAAATAGACACAATTTCGCATTTATATTAAGTATTTATATTCGATTAGGTATTCGGTAGCAGATGGAAATATGTAACGCAGCGGGGAGCCTTGTTTATTTATTTTACAACTTATTTTAGCTCTATAATTGGCCTTAACTNCTTCAACTTGGTAATCAGGTCTACTTTATGGCAAAGAAAGGTGTGTCTGGCATTTGTGCTGTTTCTTTTTACTGTTTTTAAATTCTATGCATACTGAGCAGTTATTTTTTTACATTAGATTGACAATAGATGATTATTATAGATGAGACCCCCCGCTTTCAGTATGTGATCTCACGCGGAAACTTCTTGAGAGAAATGATGTTGCACTCTTTAGTTCCATTTTCCTACACTTATGCACATTAAAGAGCATTTAACTTAAAAAATTTATTATCCACCAATATTACATGTTTCATCACCATCATGATCATCATCATTTTAGCCACAGAATGTCCACTGTTTTAATGTTTATATTCCGCTAACCGGACATTTTCGAAAAAAAACAAGCACCTTTATTTTTCCGCCAAGAAAATTGTTGAGTTTCAAAAACGAATTCGAAATAAAAACAATTGACAATCGGATCCATTAGCTCATGACAGCACTAAGATTCTATTTTGTCTGTTGCAGATTATGTGCACCAACTAAGGCATGGGTCAGACAGAGGAGGTTCGGCCCAGCCCGCGGCGCCGGTCGCCGGACCTGCCGCCGCTGCCGCCGCCTATACAGCCTTGCAGCGGCTTCCTCGGGAATGTGAGTACCTAGCCTTATGTAGAATTTTTTAAACAGAAAAGTGTCAATATCAATAACGTAAACTTTTTTGTTTATCATAATATTATAAGGGTTTTTTATACCTTTACTCGGGAGCATTAAATGATCAAAATAGATGCCTTGAAAAATTAGTTTAAGTAGTTATCACGTTAACGTGGGCATTTATGTACATACTACGAGTAAATGACACAAGATTAGTTAAGTTATGAATTATATCTAGAAACTTTAAGTTGATAAATTCTACCATTTATTAGAAAAATCTAAGGGCAAAGAGGCTGTTTCGTCGATGGAGAGCTAAATAATTATGAAAGTTTATTTTGTGGAAGTTAAAACTTGTAAGCTGTCTATGACATTTCCTTAGCACCAACCGTTTCTACTCAGAGGAAATGTCAAACTGCTCATTTTATATTTTCTTGGTTGGTGACATATCCAACTGCCCCCCTAGACAAAACGCACTTTTTGATCGAATCGAAAATCGAATCCGTCAAAACTCCATACAAAAAAGGGGCTTTTCGACCACTTTTCGACTGGTTTGCGATTAAAATTTGCACTTTGTCTAGACCCACTGGTGATGTTTATTTTTTTATACCAGTTGCAGTTGATTTATGTAGGTAGGCACTTTCAGCTCGATCTTTCCTCCTTTCTACCACGTTGGTTTGACACGAACACTGTCAAAGCTGCAAGAATGACATCAGCTCGTGATAAGATCTGAAAGCAGGTCTGAAATATGAATTCTGTTGAAATTAAATTTCATTTTTCTTTGATGTTAATCACTCGGTTTTATTGTGAAACTCGGAATTCAGAAATTGTTTCTTGAAATGTGTCTTTATTTTTAAGGTAGGTAGTGCGGAGACTTGTTACTTTGGGAAACAAAAAAGCTTTTGTCAGTAAAATAAATAAATCAGATTACTTTAATAGGACCAGAGATTACGCTATTAATAAGAATTACTTACCAATGATNCTAATGATGAGCAAACCTTTCACATTACCACGAACATAAATAACCAACAATAAATTATTCGTCGATGTGTACTACCCATAAATTAATAAAACGCGCGGACCAAAATATCGAAAGTGTTCCGATTACAATTTGCGCTCTCGATGCTGCAGCATCGATAATAAGCCGATATTATGCCGATATTTAACCGATATCGTAGCATTGTCATGTGGCCGTCCCACTTCGCACGGTGACCATTAAGTAAGAGCCAAAGCACACGATGCGTTGCGGCGCCGCACTGCAAAGATTTCCCAATATCGTGCGAAGCAGCGCTGCACCGCTCGTATGCCCGCTACAGATACGAGTATTTTTTTTTGTGGCGTTCATTTAATGGCGGGTCGAGACGGGTGTAATGTAATCCACCGTGTAATGTAATACGAATTCTACGTGTCAACGGAACTACAAGCATTACATGTAAAGTGCTGCCCATACTATTTCCATTAGAGCGGCACCGCTCCGGCGTCACAGCGGCACCGCTCCGGCGTCGCATCGTCGCCGCAACGCATCATGTTCTTTGGCTGTAACGTAAGCTGCGCAAGCGCCATCCGTCTTGCTTTGCGACTTTCCTCGACTTATCGGAGGTTTAAAAGCTTTAACGGTATCGCTATGAAAGTGACACGTAATTTCAATGGCGAAGGGCATGTTATGGAAGTGCTTTGTGTTCCGTAGAAAAATGACTTATGAACACGAACGACGGAAGTGAGATGATTTTATTATTTATCGAACTATAAAATCATCTCATAGGTGAAATTTTAATGTGTTTAATTTGCAGATTTACTTTAAAATTTCAAGAAAATGGTAAACGTAAGGGAGTTGATGCTGGTGGAATCTAGTCTATCAACCGATATGAGCAAAGCTGAACTTAAAAATGGCTGAAGTAATAGATACAATACAACATAAATATTTTGAAATCGATTTTCAAGATGCGTTTCATTGTAAGAATTTATTTTTTATTATTTGCCACTTCACAGTAACCCCAAGTCTACGGAGATGATACTTGTCACTCCAATTCAGCACAATCCACCCTGATGGATGGATGCGATTGCCTAATTGATTCTCTAGAAAGATGTTGTTGAAATAACATTTCAAGAAGCTTAAAAGCTAACACCATAGACTAACAGCTTTTAAATACTGTCCGTAGAATAAGTGAATTAAAAAGTTAAAGCTTTCTTAAAAGCATTCTATAGCTTGAAAAGAAGGATGTAATTCTTCATTCATTTTATAATTTAGCTAATGCATTATTTATTATGATAGTGTAACAAAAAGAAGAAAAAATATGTAAAAGTGAAAAATAAAGAAAAAAAGCGCTCTTAACCTCTGAACTAATTAGATCGATTTCGCCTCGAAAAACTGCCGTGAACTTTAAGTTGTTTAAGGTTTAAAAGTGGTTTAGTGTAGAGAAGCTGTAATGAATACATATTGAAGAAAAATACTGAGTGTTACTTATACAAAACAAACAAGTTATTGAAGATTTGGCTGCAAAGGTAAATACTGTAAAAATAACCAAACCCGCTATCCGATTTCATAGACCCATTGTTTAGTTTAGACCATCCGCGTAAAATTACACGTTGCACCACCCACGTATCAGGCCCCGTTAGCGTNCCAATGATGAGTAAACCTTCCACATAACCACGAATAAATAACCAACAATAAATTATTCGGCGATGTGTACCTACTACCCATAAATTAATAAAACGCGCGGACCAAATCGAAAGTGTTCCGATTACAATTTGCGCTCTCGATGCAGCATCGATAATAAGCCGATATTATACCGATATTAAACCGAAATCGTGGCATTGTGGCCGTCCCACTTCGCACGGTGACCATTATAAGAGCCAAAGCACACGATGCGTTGCGGCGCCGCACCGCAAAGATTTCGCTGAATCGCGCGAGGCAGAGCCGCACCGACCGACCGTCGATTTCTATATTAATGGCAGGTCGAGACGGGTGTAATATGTACACCGTGTAACGTGGACGGCACTGTAGGTAAAGTGCTGCCCATTCTATTTCCATTACATTACACGATACATTCCAAAACACACTACACTCATCTGTACCCGGCCTTAGACGATGCGGCACCGCTCCGGTGTCGCATCGTCGCCGCAACGCATCGTGTTCTTTGGCTGTAACGTAAGCTGCGCAAGCGCCATCCGTCTTGCTTTGCGACTTTCCTCGACTTATCGGAGGTTTAAAAGCTTTAACGGTATCGCTATGAAAGTGACACGTAATTTCAATGGCGAAGGGCATGCTATGGAAGTGCTTTGTGTTCCGTAGGAAAATGACTTATGAACACGAAAGACGGAAGTGAGATGATTTTATTATTTATCGAACTATAAAATCATCTCATAGGTGAAATTTTAATGTGTTTAATTTGCAGATTTATAATACTTTAAAATTTCAAGAAAATGGTAAACGTAAGGGAGTTGATGCTGGTGGAATCTATTCTATCAACCGATATGAGCAAAGCTGAACTTAAAAATGGCTGACGTAATAGATACAATACAACATAAATATTTTGAAATCGATTTTCAAGATGCGTTTCATTGTAAGAATTTATGTTTTATTATTTGCCACTTCACAGTACCCCAAGTCTACGGAGATGATACTTACTTGTCAGTCCAATTCAGCACAATCCACCCTGATGGATGGTTGCGATTGCCTAATTGATTCTCTAGAAGCCGTTGTTGAAGTAAAATTTCAAGAAGCTTAAAAGCTAACACCATAGACTAACAGCTTTTAAATACTGTCCATAGAATAAGTGAATTAAAAAGTTAAAGCTTTCTTAAAAGCTTTCTATAGCTTGAAAAGAAGGATGTCATTCTTCCTTCATTTTATAAATTAGCTAATACCGTATTTATTATGATAGTATTACATAATTATTATTATAATGTGCCATAAAAGAAGAACAATGATGTAAAAGTGAAAAATAAAGAAAAGCACTATTAACCTCTTAGCTGATTAAGTAGCTTGATTTCGAGTTCGTTAAGGTTTAATTTAAACGTGTAAAAGTGGTTTAGTGTAGGTAGAGGGGCTGATAATGAATATTGAAGAAAAATACTGAGTGTTACTTATACAAAACAAACAAGTTATTGAAGATTTGACTGCAAAGGTAAATGCTGTAAAAATAACCAAACCCGCTATCCGATTTCATAGACCCATTGTTTAGTTTAGACCATCCGCGTAAAATTACACGTTGCACCACCCACGTATCAGGCTCCGTTAGCGTAACCTAATCTTTGGTGGCCAGCAGGCTGGAGACGCGGGGGCGCCTCCTCCTGCATTGCACAGGCTACCACCGCCGTCGGACGGGATTGGCCTCGTGGTCCCGGCTAATCCTGTCGGCCCCCCACTAGGTGGGGGCGTGTTGGGTCCCGCCGTGTAGGGCGGGACGTCCGCGGAAGGCGCCTTGGTCGTTTCTAGTACCCAAGGCGCCGACCACTATGCGGCAGAGGGAATACCCCAGGTTTTTAGTGGGTTCGAGCCCCACATAACCTGCCGTCCCCCGGCGGTAGGTATGGATAGGCCATTTTCCTGGGTAAAAAAAAAAAAAAAGGTAACTAATCTTTGACAGATCGTAAATCCAGCCAGTTCAAACTGGCAAGGCCTCGCTCACCCTCCACTTACATAATCTCGCCGCGTCAAAGTATTACAACTTACAGTATTACAGTATTACAAGCTAGCGTATAATCTGATTCTATAACGATTTGCTAAAATCCGAATGCTGTTAGGGATCACAAATAGCTGCAATTTATGCCAGGACGATGGCCGGCGGCGGATCGCGGGAAATTATGAGCAAGCGCAATCTTCTTAGGCCCATAAATTGTACGGTGCTTCCCTTCAGCTTAGGCCCTTATTAAAAGAACTGCGACGCTGTGACTTGAGGGCACACAAACATAAACAAGTGCAGCAACAGTTACCAGCACGATACTTACGTTGGCAGCGTTTTTCTAGCAGATGATAGACTTTTACAGGGCGACGATTCTCG